GGGTGGCTGATAGCCATGTGGCCCCCGCCCGCCCGCCCCAGCTTCCTGGTGTCCGTGCTGTACTCCAAGGCCAAGCTGGCCTCGGCCTGTGGCGGAATCATCTACTTTCTAAGCTACGTGCCCTACATGTACGTGGCGATCCGCGAGGAGGTGGCACACGATAAGATCACTGCCTTTGAGAAGTGCATTGCGGTGAGGGTCAAGGGCCGGCAGGGGCAGGTTGGGGCGACGGGGGGGAGCATGCACTCTTCCTGTCGGCTGACACCTCTGTCCCCTCAGTCCCTGATGTCCACCACAGCCTTCGGCCTGGGCTCCAAGTACTTCGCACTGTATGAGGTGGCGGGCGTGGGCATCCAGTGGCACACGTTCAGCCGGTCACCCGTGGAGGGGGATGACTTCAATCTGCTCCTTGCTGTCACCATGCTGATGGTGGATGCAGTCGTCTATGGCGTGCTGACATGGTACATTGAAGCCGTGCACCCAGGTACTGGCCAGCCCTGTGGAGGAGCAGGGGAGAGGCAGGGAGACCCCAGACCGGGGGCAGGTACCTCTCTGGGCTTCCTCCTGAACCCAGCCAGGAAGCTCCCTGGGTGGGCACATGGCCGGTGGGGGGGACAGTCACCCCCAGGCCCTAGGTCAGCTTCCCCTCCCCAACTCCCAGGCATGTATGGGCTGCCCCGGCCCTGGTACTTCCCACTGCAGAAGTCCTACTGGCTGGGCAGTGGGCGGACAGAGGCCTGGGAGTGGAGCTGGCCCTGGGCACGTGCCCCCCGCCTCAGCATCATGGAGGAGGACCAGGCCTGTGCCATGGAGAGCCGGCGCTTTGGTGAGGCAGACGCCATCGGCTGGGCAGTTGCTGGGTTTGGGGAGCCTGGAGCGGCCTTAGCACGGCCGCCCAGCTTGCTAACCCACAGTCCTGGTGCAGAGGAGGCACGTGGCATGGAGGAGGAGCCCACCCACCTGCCCCTGGTTGTCTGTGTGGACAAGCTCACCAAGGTCTACAAGGACGACAAGAAACTGGCCTTGAACAAGCTGAGCCTAAACCTCTACGAGAACCAGGTGGTCTCCTTCCTAGGCCACAACGGGGCGGGCAAGACCACCACCATGTGAGCGTGTGGGGCAGTGCAGGAGTCCGTACCCAGCTGGGGCAGAGTGGGTCCCTGCAGGAGGTA